GGTGGTTGCTAGCTTATTACTCTGAAAATTGATAACTAAATGGAAAGAAGCAATCATTCTTTCTTCCATTTTTGTGCAAACTGTTTTTTCAGGATAACCAAGTAATTGATGAGGAGTTATTCTTTACAGCAGAACTCCAGGTGATTAATGGAGAAAGGATGATAGAATTATTAAGGGATTTCTAAGGAAATCAAAGATCTAAGCATGATCATCAATGAAATCTAACACCAGTAGGTAAAATGGAAGATGAGATCCAGACTACTTAAACCCATTATCAATCATAGCATTTCTAAAAGTTGACAGCAAGATACCATGTGACTCACAATCGGATGTGATGGAAGTAAACAGCACCATCTATGAAACATTCTTGCCTAAAAATTTGAACTGTTTCTAGTCAAGCCTCTAAAGCTAATACTCAGTTTATAAGAAATAAGAGAATAGAAAAGAGAGTTAAAGGATCTCTCATGGAGGGAATCAGACATCACAGAATGTGGGACATTCCAGGGAACATGACCTTGCTTCTTAAAAAAATTGGCAAGGAGTGGAAGGAAATTATGGAAGACTGTTACAGAATAAAGGAGATTTAAGAGACATAATTATAAAATGTAATGTGTACGACTTGTTTTGGCTCTGATTTCAACAGACATAGTTGAGATAACTGGGAAAATTTAAGTATGAACTGGATATCAGATGATATTAAAGAATTTGTGTTATTTTTTGTTAATGACATCCTGATTAGGTAAGAAAGACTTATGAAATTGACATGCATACTGAAGTATTTAAGGATCTTGGATTAAGACTTTCATAATTTAAGATCTTCTTTAAAATATTTAGCAGAAAAAAAAAGGGAAAAGAGACGTAGTAGGAGAAAGATAGTTAAGACTGGAAAATTTTTGATAATTATTGAAGGTAGGTGTAGATTTGTATTGTGTCAACTTTGCTAAACAGTAACTACATTTTCAAGAATTCCATACCCTGCAGAGTTTTGGGTTAGGATGAACCAGAGCACTAAATGTTTGCAAGATACGGTAGGCAAAAGGCAAGCAGGGTCACATTCTTTTTATGCTTAGAAGGTCATTGCAGGGCTCCAGGTGCAGTTGAGCATGATATCACTGATTTGTTAGCTCACCTTGTTGGCTTGGTGCAGCAGCTGAGCCTACAGCAACTCCATCTCCTGCCAGATTCTTCTTCAGCTTCTTCCATTGCTCGCCCAGATGCATATTTAGCTACATGATGAAGGATAATGGCTACTTCTGTAGGTCACCCCTATCTTTGAAGTTGGAGACTTGGAGGTCATAAGGCTGATGTAGGTTCCAATTTGTTCTCATTAGTTGCAGCTCAGCCTCCCTGGTTCCAGATTTCCTTACTCTCCCTACTTCATGTCCATTTTTTTCTTCCCATGTGCCTCTTCTTCTGCCTTCAGGC